GTGCAGAATCGCATGGGAGATTAATCAGTGGACCTTTAAGTTTTCCTCCATTAGTGGAAAATGAAGGGCGCCTTTTGCGTCTGGATACACTTAGCAACAGAAGGGCGCCCTGTACGTTGGGCACGAAGTATAGGAAACTTGCATGGTTAAAAAGAAGGGCGCCGCCTACGTTGGGCACGACTTCCGCCTCATTTTTACAATGCGAGAACTCTATCTTGTATTTCAAGTATCTTTGGCGTGATGTAGGGGGAGGAGCATCACATTGGGACGGAAAGGAGAATCGCTGATGCTTATAAAATGTGTTTTATCGTATCAAAATAATTTACCCCTTCAATAAACCTGCGACAATGATGTTATTGATCACTCTTTTTTTTTTTTTTATAAGAATAAACATTCCTACTATAGGCCTATCCGTGTTCTCCCAATAAAAAGACTGATGATGTTACAAGTGCGTCTTCAATCGAGGTGTGCGTGTTGGCTGCTGGCAATCCAGCCAGGGAATGCAAAATCCCCCGTCCCCCTCCCCCAAGGTTAATGGTCCAAGAAACATTGATACTTGTAAAAAATCCCGGCGTTGTATTCTGCGAGCTAGCCCTCTTCATCTAATCATCGAGTCCCCACACATGATGACCTCCCCCACCCAATTCAAATCCCTACGCCATGCGGGGGCGATATTTGCCAGTTATCAAACATTCTTGACCAGGCCTAACAGTTGGGGTGGCTACGCACGCTATTTCAGTAGGTCTACTGTATTGTCCTAGGACTTTACAAATTGTTATGTTTCATTAACAAACACATTAATTTTCTTAGCGTCGTAAAATAAGAGAGGGAAAAAAATCAGCGTGGTGACTTAGGCCTACCAATCGTGAAGACAATTAGATTTAGGTTTGAGTCCTGACTGGGCTCTGTAACATGTAAGAATAACGGCTTAGAAAAAAAAAATCATCATTTAAACGCACCAAAATACTTTACTGATACTAAAACATAATGATAATGTTGAAAATCATCGTTCCATCCCACTACTTAATGTTGTCAACCTGGAGTCGATTAACCCCAATACAGTAGGTCTATGTTCATCCACAGATCCTATCGAGTTCACTGCCAAGAACTTGTAGTCACGGTAATCCTAATGTGTTTACCAGCCATGCAAAATAGGCCTATGGTTAAAGGTAATTTTCTGTTACAAGTCAAAGACTTTAATCTGTTTTTTTTTTTACCATATACAAAGCAAACAATTCAAATATATAGGCCTACTTGACTATATTTTTCATGTAGGCCTATTATTAGCTCATCTCAGGCGCCTTTACATCTGTAAATGTTTTACGTACAAGACCCTTTTTTTATCTTAATTTATTATTTTTGTTAATTTTATTCCTTTAATTACATGGGCAAGGATTAGCAATAGCAATCCCTTCGAATTATACACAATGGTGCTCTACATAAATCTTATAAAAAGGCTGTTGAAGAGGAGTTGTTTTGTCGTGAGAACAAATCCATGGAATCTGACAAAATTTGTACCCAGGACACTGGGATTGGTAGGCGAGCCCCATCCCCTTCCCCTTTCCCCACCAACTGTCGTTATTGTTATTATTATCGTGGTTATTGTTTTAATGTTATTAACATTGTTAATTGTTTTAATGTTATTGTTGTTATTATTATTATTATTATCATTATTATTATTATTATTATTATTATTGTTTTTGTTACTGTTGTTTTATTGTTATGTTATTAGTATTACTGGTAATTGTTTTATTGTTATTGTTACTAGCATTACTATTATTATTGTTTCATTGTTCAAGTTCAAATTTATTGTCATATCAAAGTAAATGAAGTTTGTTTTCCAAGGTTTACAATCAAAACAGTGACATACTAAAATACTATACAATGGATATATAGGCCTATATAATAATAAAATCACTTTATTTGCCAAAACTTATAAATTTCGTCAATACAAAAATAGTCTCGAAAAATATAATTATTTATTTTTTATAATCATTTCATTTCATCGACCAAGATACTGCCACATTAAATGAACTTCAAAATTGCTTTAAAAAATTAAATAACAAATTGGAGTATTTCAAATTGTAGTATTTAATAATGTAATCATTAGAGTTCTATATTCTCAGTCTGTCAACTTTCAAATAAATTAAGAATTCATTATTGCTCGTACATTTGTTAGTTATCTTTATTATTATTTTAGTGTACAACCTTAATAAAGAAGATTGAATTAATATGTAGGACAGTTATAAAAAAATGTTTAAAAAAATATTTATAATAATAGGCCTAAAAATTGTATTTTTTTCTCCACGATGCTTTAGTCAAGCAGATATCTGAATGAACATATTTCGTTGATGAAGCAGACATATTTTGTTTTGATTTAATTTGTTCAAAATCGCCACTTATTATAACATCATCAAATGTTAATTCATAATACTAGGCCCTTATAATATCGTTTCGCTCAGCCTTTTTGGATTGTGCGTGGTAAAGTGAACAACATGAATTTTGCATATCATTTTTGTAGTGTATGGAATTTTGAGAGCGAAGATATTCGTTTTCCATAGAATATTTTGCCCCATTTCAAGTCAGATCATTTGAATATATCCATTCGTTTTCCTTTTATGTATTTTAGTGTACAGCAATTAAAGAAAATTGCATTAATATACGGGTACGTTACCAGTAGAAAAAGAATTAGAAAAATAAATTTATTTATGACTACACAATCCTGTCTTTGTCAAGACTCCTATTAATTAATTGTGATGACGAACAATGTGTAGGCTTATTCTTATCGCCAATGACTTGAGAAGAGAGAGAGATTGTGATTCTGGTAAAATGTTTAAAAGTTTTATGTAAATCGCTGGCGTTCTGAGATTATTTAAATGTTTATTAATTATAGTTTTAGTGTTTGTCGTTCAGATACCGATTATTGCCAATAGAACCAGATTTGCCATGTATCTAATTCGAATCAAATTGTATCTTGTATTTGGTATTAATTTTGTAGGCCTATGTTTATAATTGCATGTCATTGTCAATGTAGCTATTCCGAACCCTATTTGACGGTACTATTGTAAGTTACAATTTGTTAATTACGCCGCTGCACCTTGAAAAGTTCAGAGGTTTGAAACTGGTGATTTTTATCGTTCGTAACAAATTCTAACATGGGAAAACAACGGCTGACTACTAGGCTAGTGAATGAGGAAGTATAGGCCTACGTACAACACCTTTCGAGTTCCAGACGTTTATTGAGTACCTTTGTTTCGTAGGATTTGAAATAAGCGTAATTATAGTATAGATAATGTTTTTATTTTTTATTCACGATGCTATTAATCAAGCAGACGTTTGAACGAACATATTTTCGTTGGTGAAGCAGACCTATTCCGTTTTAATTTAATTTGTTCAGAATTACCATATTAATTATAACATCATCAAGAATGCCTAAGATAGAAATATTGCTTCGATCAACCTTTTTTTTTTTTGGATTTTGTGTGGTATTTTATTATCTTAATAAGTGAACATGGCTTTTGTGTAGACTGACTTTTGTAGAGTTTGAAATTTCGAGTGCAATGGTATTTGTTTGTTATAGCATATTTTGCTCAATTTCAAACCAGACGTTGGGTATATTCATTCATTTCCATTTTATTTATGTAGTGTACAGCAATTATAAAAAAAAAAGGAAAAAAAGAAAACAGTGTTAGATGGGCACCGCTATTGCATTGGGCACCGCTACTGCAGGTGTTATTACATTTTTTATATTAATCCTTAGATGGGCACCGCTATTGCATTACGGGCACCACTACTGCCGGTGTTGTTATATTTTATATATTAATCCTTCGATGGGCACCGCTACTGCATTATGGGCACCACTACTGCAGGCATCCCATAGATATCGGTGTAACGATGATATAATTATTTTTAAAAAAAGGCAAATCAAATGGAAATGTTATGTTTAAACTGTACCACTTTGAAAATCAGTGTAATAGTACTGAAAGTGCCTACAGTATAAAGAAAGAATAAATAAATAAAAAATAAATAAATTTAAGGATTAATATATAAAATATAACACCTGCAATAGCGGTGCCCATAATGCAATAGCGGTGCCCATCTAAGGATATAATATATAAAAACAACTGCAGTAGTGGTGCCCATAATGCAATAGCGGTGCCCATCTAAGGATTAATATATTAATCCTTAGATAGGCACCGCTATTGCATTACAGACACCGCTACTGCAGGTGTTGTTATATTTTATATATTAATCCTTAGATGGGCACTGCTACTGCATTATGGGCACCGCTACTCAAACGCCTTTGTGAAATCTATAGTACATAAATTCACAAACCGACCCCCAGAATCAATGTCCGATAAGACAGTGTTCAAAAGGTCCACAAGATAATGAGTTGTAGACGACCCTTTGCGACTCCCATATTGTTTACCATCAATCTCCTTAAGTGATATCTTCCATAATCCAGTTAGTCAGGAATGACTCAAAAATTCTAGCAAAAATAGGGGTTAAATAGGACGAAGATCATTAACGTCAGATGCATTTCGAACCTTTGGAAGCGGGACGATTGTAGCAGCTTTCCAGATTTTGGGGAAATGACCTTCATGTAAGGCTGTATTGAAGATGTCAGCAAGAGGAAGCGCTAACTCAGGTGAGAACTCTTTGACTAGCTTTAAGGGAAGGTCTTCTGTATGACTCGATTTGTTAACTTTCAATTTGTCCAACAACAATTTCACTTGACCTGGGTAGATTGTAGGTGGTTTTTGAGCTGGTAAGTACGCTGGTAACTTCGAAGGTTGTAACATGGGCAGTTCCGAGCAAACATTCGCAAAGTGTCTATTAATAATTTCAGCTGTTAATTAATATATTAATCCTTAGATGGGCACCGCTATTGCATTACAGACACCGCTACTGCAGGTGTTGTTATATTTTATATATTAATCCTTAGATGGGCACTGCTACTGCATTATGGGCACCGCTACTGCAGGTGTTGTTATATTTTATACATTAATCCTTAGATGGGCACCGCTACTGCATTATGGTCACCACTACTGCCGGTGTTGTTATATTTTATACATTAATCATTAGGTGGCACTGCTATTGCATTATGGGCACCGCTACTGCAGGTGTTGCTTTCATATATTAATCCTTAAATTTATTTATTTATTATTTATTTATTCTTTATACTGTAGGCACTTTCAGTACTATTACACTGATTTTCAATGCGGTACAGTTTAAACATAACAAAAATATATACAATATAAAGAATTGTTTAACAAAAAATAAAAAGAACATAGGCTTCACTACTGCAGTATGGGCAACATGAAATAATTGAGACAGGGCCGGTACTATGTGTGTTTGTAGAATAATAATTGGTTCGTAACCAAAGCGTCCTAGGCCTCTAGGGGCCAGACCTACATCACCATATAAATTATAATATAATTCTTACCCAGACTTATTAGGCCTAGCCTATGCCCTACAGTAGAGCGGCAATGCGAGTTAATTTATTAATATTAGGTAAGGCATACCTTAGGCTTTTAAATGAATATTCAATTTATATTGCTACTTAATTATTCATGAACCTGCAGTAGTGTCGCCCATAACGCTTACCTAATAGTGACCTCGATAGTGATGGTACGTATATTAGAGAGTTCCTGTATATTAGAGTGAACTCTACTGTAACTGTATATCTGTATATGTTAGTATAGCGCCCTCAATTTTATTATTAACTCCGCCACGGAGTATATCTGGCTGTCATTCAATCATTTTCTGTATTAGGAATTTAACGTAAGTAAAAATAAATAAATAAATAAAGCGCAAAAACTACAAATAAGAAATATTGGATATTGTTATTGGTCGAATGTCGTACAGCAGGGCCTAGGCCTATCTACACCAGGGAGTAACAACTCCTTGCCTACTCACAAATTGCTAATTCAAAACTAATCGGAAATGCCACTCATAGTCGAGTGGTAGTCGAGTGGTACTAAAGATCGGAAGAGGTACGCCCTAAATCAGATGTTGTGATAACATTTCATAGATCAGTGTAACAATCATATTCGTGGAGTTATGCACTCCATTGCTAATGTTATTAAAACATTATTATCATTCTTGTATTCATTATTATAGGCCATGGTTATTTATTGCAGTTGTTACACTTTTTATTAATGTAAGAACACATTTATAAGAACACTGAAGCCCAAATTGCTTAAAAAAGAACAAAATAAGAATAAATTGAGGCTGAGATAAAGTGTCAAATGTGGTTTTTATATACATTTTTTTAATAGAAAACCAATAAATCATATCTGTACAAAGGTATGATTACGGTATGTAGGCCTAATACCCTCTATAATAATAATATTAATAATAATAATAATAATAATAATAATAATACTAATAATAATAATAATAATAATAATAATAATAATAATAATAATAATAATAATAATAATAATAATAATAATAATAATAATAATAATACCAACATCGTATCATTATCATCAGGTATCATCCACACCTTGTAGAACCGAAAAAGTTGTCCGATACAACCAAAATTGAATCATTAAGGGCAATTCTAAACCTTTACCTCCTGTTTGGAGTGAGACAAATTCATTTGTGCATTATAGCTTTTTTATTATGAAATACCATAAGATTCTGCTTAGATAGAACGGTGTATTATTGTACTTAACAAGTTTAAACGTGTCGGTTGCCCAAACTCCAATCTATTCGGGAGTCCCACCACACTAAAACAAAAATTGGATTTGTGTCAGAATGAACTAAGGTATTCCATCATCACGCTGTCGCCGGAAATGATTAACAAAGCAAGTATACCATAATTAATCACCGAAATCATGATGTTCCAATTAAGAAGAACGCATTATCTTTTAAATCGTGAGTCATTAAAATGACAATAGGAACTCCCTATTCTTTAGGCTCTAGTTGTCGTGACTAATTCTCCAGGAATGTGATAGAAACACCCAATTTAAACGTGAAACACTGTAAAAAAAGAAAAGAAGCAAAATCAAAGAAAAACCTAAGATATGTTATAGGGTAGTAGGTCTAATTCCTTCAAATATATTTTATTTAATTTTAAGATACAACAGTGTTGTAAAAAGGTGCAACAAGCGGTAATCAATAGTTTCCGAACACACGCACAGTACAGCCAGTGCGCATGTCAAGTTTGTGGAGGTCAAAAGCGGTGTGTTGTTGTGACTGTGATCGTTCTCCGACGTGACACTCGTCAACAAGCTGTGGAGCTGAAGGAATGATGTTTAGTATGTTCTAAGCATCTTTTATTTCACCGGTGTTTTTATTATTATCATTGCATAAAAGGAAGATAAACATGCACGGGGAAGGACAGGATACTCTTCGCAAGGTAATTTTGTATTGTTTCCCTCAGGAGAACTCTTTATTTTAGCCTAACTAGTGATGTATTCACCTGGGTCCTGTTTTTTTTTGGCTAAGCCGCCTACCTACCAACCTGTCAACAACTGGGTACACCGAATCCTGGTACTCCCAAGTCCATGGACTAGGTAGGGGTGGATAATATAGTTAGGGTTTTTGGTTATTATTTAGTTAGGTAAATGAGTATTGTTTTTGCTCTCGGCCTATTCCATTACGTTTCTTTTAGTAGAAACTTGTTATATTTTTTGTTAGATAGCTTGGATCAATGGATTGAAGTAAAATAATCATGTAGAAAGAAGCTAATTGTATCGCGGTGGATACCGTCCGTAGTAAACTAAAATCGCCTCCCTGCTGCTGATGGGTTGGCCCATTTTATTCCTCTACGGTTGGCGTAAGCACTAGAAGGAGGAGTGTGTCATGGTGGCTGTGGTAGGTAGCCTTCAACTTTCCCTTCACCAGTGTCGGCTGGTAAAAAAGAAACTGATATGGCACAGGAGTAGTAGGCAAGGCCTAAGCCTTATTTATGCACACAGCAAAAGGAAAAAAAAAAATTAACTAGAAATCGTTTATGTAACAGTATTACACTCCCTTTTCAAACCATCTTGACCATATGATCATTGATTGTTTCCCTTCCCCCTTCTTCCCCTCCTTTCACCCCCTCCTCCTCGCAGAAACTTCCTGACAAATAGTGGTACACCAGCTACAGTACACTGTATGGTTTAAATTTCAATCTTCCAGATATGTGAACATTTACTTGTAATTTTATATCGTTCTAATTTCTTTATATCAACGTTTCTTTTCCTGATGTATTTCGTTAACTTTGTGATGCATTTAATATTATTATCTTACTTTTTCAGGGCACTGACCCTACATTAATGTCAGTTCGAGGTCGCATGCAAAACAGACGTCAAAAACTCAACCAGAAAATTAACAAAGAAATGCGCATGAGAGCTGGTGCTGAAAATCTCTACAGGTAGGCATATTGGGAAAGAAAGAATTATTTTTGACAAGTAAAATAAAATAAATAAATAAAATAAAATTTAAATGTGAATCTCATCATGATGTTGATTTACCAAATTGTAACCGCAATATATGGATTGTAAGTGATGCATTGGTCAATTAAAATGAAGTGGTATATTATGCCATATTGTAGGCCTAAATTTGCTCATAATCATGAACTGGAACAACAATTGCACTGTATAATGGAATAAAAAATAATAAAAGGGAATTGAACAGTGTAATGTACTTTTTTCTTTGAATAGAATTATTTGTTTAATCTAACATGACTTACAATCATTCAATCTGATCGCAAGAATAAATAGGTAATTGTATTATATAAAATGTTCAATATAAACTATCCAATTATATTCAACAGTGTAGCCTCTTATTAATAAAATCAGCTTTTGCTAAGCAGATTTTTAAGACTGATTTTCTGTATGTGGTGAAACAATAATTTTTACTGTAATTTGCTGTACTGTTTGGAACATTGTAAAAAGTATGAAGTGTGTTTTAACTGTTTATCACTTCAAAAAACATTTCTGTTATTTATTTATGATAGACTGAATAAAATGCATTGAATTAAATTAAATATGATAATTTTATAATATAGTTTAATCGTTTCAAAGATATTAATATATTTTCCAAAGCAATAGATGATGTCATTTGTATTATAATCACTGTTGGCATAAATTCTACATGCTTTATACTTGTCATAAAATTATAAGAATTGTGGAGAGAAAGTGTTTAATTGAATTAAAACAATATTAGTACATGTATACATAGGATTGTAGAAGATAAAATTAGCTTAATTATTATGGATGATAAATACATAACATTTGCTGGCACTCTTTTTTGGAATTTGTAAGAATTAGTTTTCCTGAATGATTAATTTTGTTATACATAGTATTTTTTGTATAATTTGATGCAAACAATTTATAAAGTCTTTTTATAACACAGAAGCTGATTTTGACAAGTGATAAACCCCCATCCCCATATATCAAAAGCTTGTTAACCTTAGTGTTTTGTTATGTTGTCATTATTTTTAAGCTTAGTGACTTAAGTATTTTATTCAGTATCAAGTATTAATTTATCCTACTACATTGTCATTCTTTTGTTAACACCTGTGATAGTGTTATATTTTACAAGGTGTGTCTTGCGACAATTTTATATCAGAAATTTTGAAAAACATCATTAACAATACATTAACTTATCTCCATAATGATGGATAACTGTCAAATATCATCCAATTATAGTTGATTGGACTGAAGTAAACTTATAAAATGTGTCAATTGCATCTTACTGTAGGTATTGTGTTAATGAATAAAACCATAGTGGACAACTTCACACAATTTTTATCTCACACCAGGTGCGAATCACACTGTGTTAACATTTTTAAATCTGAACTCCGTGGTTTCACCTCCCACTTGGCGTGAAACTGCACAGCATTCTGGGTGTTTCTAGCTGGCTTGTCTGTTTTTTAGTCCCTCATTGTGACCCTTCGTCCCACATGACCTCGTGAAAATGTATGTGAAAATGCTGACCAATCAGTATTCAGCTTCAACTATATGATCGCTTCTCGTTTTTGGATTATTTTCTCTCTAGTACCATGTGTGATATTATTGTTGTAGTTATGTTTTGACAAGCTTTGTTTTCATTAGTCATCATTTGTTTCTAACCTAATCTTTGACATGAGGATGCACACTATGTTTGTGTACACACCAGCCATGCATTGTGTGACACACCTATACTAATGATAACATTCGTGAATCATTTAATGGTAATAAATATTCTGTGTATTGTACAGTACTCGGTCGTAAATGTTTTTTTTTTTTGTGACGTGTATATATGTGTGGTGGATTTTGGACATTGTTCATATCACAAAATTTGATTAAACATTAGATGTTGATCCTAGTGAGTAACAGATAAAGGATGCAAGTTGCTTTTTGTAACATAGATTTTATTTCACAAATTTTCATTCAAATGGATGGAAGGCTTTATCAGATACTGATATTTACTACAACTTAGGAAGTTTGTATGTTAGAAAAAAATAAGTATGTTTTTTATTATGATTAAAAACTAAGCCACTTCAATCACCATTATCAGATTGCTCTTCAAATTTTTAAGATTTATTGATAGATTAATAGAATGTATCACATAAAAATAAATCATTAATCAACTTCTGGATATTTGGAGCTCAGTTAGTTTTAATATTAAATACTTCATTAGTGTTTTTTTTTTCAGATCTAAACCACCAGTTTATTTTTAGACAGCAATATTTTTATCTGTCAGTGTTTCAAAGAACTTTGTTGAAATGTTTTTTAATAATCAAACAGACTATTGTTTTCCACTTTGACAATCCTTATACCTCATCAGACAGGCTTGAAAGTATAGTAGTTTAAAAAAAACTTGTATTCATCTCTTTTAACTTGCATTTTTCCAAATAAATAGGACTGATCATCAGTTACTACTATACAGCCATCAACTACTACAACATTATTAATCCTATTAAGACTACAACATACAGTACATACAGTAGCTAAAGACTATCAAATTTTATTTGACAAAAACATGTGAGATGCCTAAACATGGTCATGATTACATCACATCATGACCATACAAAGGCATCATCATGACTGATGGGCATACAATAGTTTGATCAAACTTTTTTGAGTCTGACATACAAAAATCTAATAATGTATGCTCAACTTAAGCAAGTTATTTACCTAGTAAGTGTTTTGTTTTCTGTTTCAATGTTTGATTCTCATGCTTAGGGTTTTTTATTTTTAGTCTAAAGTCCTTTAATTCTGAAGGATTAGAAAGAGATTTGCTTCTAGGAAGTTTTTTAATTAAGTGGCGATACATTTACGTAGGAGCTCAGTTAATCGTGCGTGAAGTGATTCTTCAAGCTTGTTCAAGTGCGTTTCGATACGCATGACAGTTCACTGAGATATCAATCTCTACTGTGTACCTTGCGGCTAATGGTCAGGGTATGCTTGTTTGACGTAATTCTTAACCGAAGAGGTTGGTTAAGTGCTTCACTTAATTGCTACTAAAGACAGCAAGAGAACTTAAATTACAAATATTGCTTTTGATTAATATAAAATTTCAATGATAATTTCAAGATTTTTGTTATAGTATATTTCTACTATATACAGTTTTTCATTGGAAAATAATATTTGCTTTTTCTTTACTGTCACTGATCAGTATAATAGAAATATATAAATATAGAACCCATTGACTTTAATATAACAGTAATAGATAATCCTTTTTCATTGAACTAATCTGTTTTTTATTTGTTTACTTGAGGCAAAATAGATGATTACAGTATGATAATAAAAAGCATTTAGAGTAAACTTCAAAAACATTACTTACTGTAATATGTGGCAAAGACAATCCAAACCAGTCACTCGTCGCAAAAATAGATTTTGAGTTATTAATACAGTGTTAGAGAGTAAATTAATAGCTATAAAATGGTAAAAAAATCATTCAAATCGGATATTTCCTTATGAAGTTACAAGTGTTTAACCACACAGCTGTTTAAAAAACAATATATGAGAAATCAGCCTTCAAAGTTTATGATTTCAGGCATTTCCCATGCAGAAACTATCTTTAAATCCTTAAAAAGTGTTGTTTTAGCATTGAAAATGAGGAAAATAATAGCATAGGATGGTGTGTAGATATATAAAGGTTAGTTTAGTGCAATAAAATAGATTTTTAAAAATTTGATATTTTGGCCATTTTCTCTGAAGCACGATTTGCCATGAGTGATTGGTTTGGCTTGTCTTTGCCACATATAAGATACTTTTACATGTCCTTCAACATTAAAGTACTGTACCACAATTAATAATTATATTCTGCATTTTCAAATGGAATTCTTGCAGTACATTTGGATTATATATACCATCAGTATGCTATACTGCTTCAAGTACTGTACATAACAAATGTGGCAAAGACAAGCCAAACCAGCCACTCGTCGCAAAAATCAGTTTTTAGTAATTAATAATACAGGGGTAAAGATGAGAAATAGAGCTGTAATATAGTCAAAGAATTTAAATCCGACATTTCGTTATAAAAGTGTTCAAACATACAGCTGTTTAAAGAACAATTATTCGAGAAATCAGCCTTCGAGTTTATGATTTTCGGCATTTCTCAGACAGAAACTATCACCAAATTGTTAAAAAATGTTGTTTTAACATTGAAAATGGGGAAAATAACAGTATAACGTGGTGTATAGATATATAAAGGTTAGTTTAGTGCAATAAAGTGGTTTCACAAATTTTGACATTTCAGCATGTTTTGGCAATTATCTCTGAGACACGATTTGTGACGAGTGACTGGTTTTGGCTTATCTTTACCACAAATTTATACATTTATTAAAAAGAACAATATGCATCTCAGTTGATATTACCTTTATCATACTGTAGATAATCCTGCTCCATTGAATTATTTGTTGGTTTTTTTGTTTTTTTTTTATGTACAAAAAAGGAAGAATAGATGAAGAGCATACTGTATAACTTTCAAATATTGTTAAAATATAATGTTCTTTATAATGTCCTTCAACAAGGTGAAGTATCACGTTTACTTGGATATTTACGGATGCAATGAATTAATTACTTAAGTATTTATAGATATTTATATAACTCAATAAAGATATGTCCTGTAAATACTAAACCTTTTTAGATTTATAATGATTTGCAAGATTAAAATAGAAGGACAGTGTTTGCGTCAGGCTTTCGTTATGATACATTTACTCTGTTTAGCTGGTAGTGCATTTGCCTATCTATCTCATGAAAATTAATATGGATAATTAATTATCTTGAAGTATGAACTTGCTGAGAACTTTCTGTTTTTCTTCCCACCCTTATTAAGGGCTCATCCATATTGAGGGACAATTTTTCGGCCTTGAAACGAAGGAAAGTGTAGCTTTTAACATTCATTGGACATCCAAAGAAGACACTATTTTAGTCCATAGTT